CTTATAGATGGCCTCGATGTTCTTAGACCATTCCAGTCTATCGTCGATGTGCACTCCCAGGTACTTGTACGAGTCCACCATATCCACGCCACTCCCATGGATGTAGACAGGAGTAGGTTTGACCTTTTTCCTCCTGAAATCTACCACCAGTTACTTTGTCTTTGTTACATTATACCTGTACAAAGGTATAGTAGTGGCAAGTCCACCCCGCTACCATCACATCATATACCGCAGAATATACAGCTGTATGTGTGATTAAAAGACAGTTAACCCCCCATTATATGATTATCAAATTAATGCAGTGGCTTTAAGTTAATTAAAATAACATTGACTAAAACAACAGTAACCACAGTCATAGTAATCCATTAAAATAAGACAACATGTATCCCTCTTCTGTGCCCTGTGGATTTCTGAACTTTCTTTGCTTTCCCTGCTCCATGATTAGCATACCCCATTGTAATGAAAAAAGCAATAAAACTTTCTTTGAGCCTATAAAGTCCTCTCTAGTCATTCCCGATGCCGTTGTAACATACTATGAGGAAGTCCTTGTAGAGATACGGACACTGTGTAGAAAGTTCTTGAACTGGGGGGCAGGGAGAGACTCACTTGCTAGATTTCTTGTGATCGTAGTCTGTTGTGCCACTGATTTGAAAGTTGCGTTCAACTGCCTTCAGCTCGGTTCATCCCACTGTGCTATCCTGTGTGTGACCTGTGTCAGCCACACTGAATCCTGACTAACCAAAATCGTGAATCTTGATTTTGCAGATGTCAAGACTCTACTGTACTCTGAACAAACATCTGCAGAAAACAGTATAGCTTGTTCTTGACTTGAACTGGGCAGTAGGTTTTCCTTTTATAATGAATGGCGCAGCAAGAGAGGTGCTGAAGTCTCTTGCTCAGCCACTGAGATAAAAAGCCACAGCTATTTATCTTGGTAAAAGTGGGCTGGCTGTCTAGCAAATCTGTTTCCTACGGTCCCAAGAGAGCTTTTCTTCTAGCTTTTCAGCATCATTCCATCTGTAACTAAGCAATTGTTCTTGAACGAGCCTCCTGCCAGTGAAACCTTTAGACTGTCACAACAAAATCACATCTGCTGTGATTTCTATCGCATGCCCTGCAGGGGCCTTGTGAACAAAACACAACCTATCAGAGGTTAAAAGGATTCTACAGCATGATTCATTGGGGGTCGATCATTCAAGTCTTGGGCAACTCTTTCTTCTTCCCTCCTTTCTTTCTTCTTGCTCGTAACCCAAAATGGGATCCCGTGCTTGATGGGCCAAATGGCCTTCTCTTCGTTTGTAGCCATTCTCTTGTTCCCGCTTCTTTCCAAGAGTGTAAGGCTTGCAGTGGGAGGCAGCAATGTGAGCCAAGATGCCAGTGTGTGGTCAGCTTCCCAGCCGACATCAGTTCGATTGGTGGAAGTGGTTACTAGCACTCTGCTTTTACTGTACCCTGTGGAGAGAACCTTGCAAACATGTTGACTTGGGCTTCAACACGGCAACAAACGAAAACATGTGTTCTTTCCTGAGCAGAAAATACCTTGATTAAATTGCGTTTTGTGCAAAGCAATTAGGTCAATTTTAAAAACACAAAGAAATTGTCAAAGAAAGATGAATGGTGCTTTTGTTTCTTATTAAGGGTAATTACTGTACATAATAAATCCACCCATCCATCCATCCATTTTCTATCTGCTTTTTCCTGTACGGGGTTGTGGGGAACTAGATCCTATCTTGGCAAGCCACAGAGACGAGGCAGGATATACTCTGGATGTGACGCCAGTCCTTCACGGGGCACACAGAGACACAAACAGACACTCACACCAGGGCCAATTTTTCCAGAAGCCTGTTAACCTGTCTTCGGAGTGTGGGGGGAAACCAGAGCACCAGGCAGAAACTCTTGTGATCACAGAGAGAACATACAAACTCCATGTAGAAAGCACCCCAGGTCTAGAGTTGAACTCAGTGCAGTGAGGCAGCAATGCTAACCACTGCACATTGTGCTGCCCCATAATACAATCATACAATAAGTAGTAATGCAATCTTTGTGAGTTAAGCACTTTGTACGAAAACTCAGATCTGCTTGTCTGAATGCAAATTCCTTGCAAACAATGTTTTCCCATTCATTTCTATTTACAGGTTAGCCTTGCTGCTTCACAGCTGCAGGGTTCAAGTGTGCATGTTCTTCCCAGCGTTTTCATGGGTACTCTGATTTCCTCCCAGTGATGTGCAGGATTGATCTTCTGCTTTGAAATGGCTCTCACATGGTTCATTCCCATGTGTCCATGAAGGAGGAAGGGGGAGATCCACCTCTTTTGTCTGCCCTGTTCCATAGTGGCTGTGTTGCCTTGCCGCTCTGCACTAGAAACAGAGAACAGGTTGTATGAATGGATACAGTAAACCAGTGGTTCTCAACCTTTGTACCCCCTGGAGGGTCGGCCAGGTCCTCGGGTACCCATTAAGATTATCGTAGGCATACAAAGGGGTGTTTTTCATTTTTTTGCATGCATGTACGTATGTGCTGTATTATAGTGGAATAATACATCGTAAACATGTATATATCATTTAACATCTAAGTGATTTCCGAATTGGCTGGTAAATATTTTACTAAAAACGTAGCACATGAAATTCCAGCATTTTGGATGCGATGCCTGAGGTACCCCCTGGTACATCTTGAGGTACCCCCAGGGCTACGTCTACTCCCGGTTGAGAACCACTGCAACAAATGAGTCACTATGCAATTGCAAATGTTCTGTAGTTGATCTTGTTTGAAGGGTGGTACTGATGGAAACAGTTTATGCTAAGTAAGGTTGTCTCTGCCCATGTCAAGTAGACCAGAGTGCTGTCTGATTGAATTGCTTTTTTTTTTAACAACCATTATTACTCAACAGCACTACTACCTTCTAGCCTGATCTGGTCAAGTCTCAGGAGTTAAGCAAGGCTCTGTCCAGTCAGTATTGTGATGGAGACCTCCAAAAGACATTTCCTATATACTCTGACGAGGTCCCTGAACTTCACGTGACTAACTGCAGCTTATTTGACACAGGGCTTTGGGTTTGTCTCTCCACCAAAGGGTGGGGCATGCTTTGAGTAACACAAAATGAGTCAGTGGCAAATTCTGGATTGAACCAGAATTTTAATCCAGAACCATCCCAGGCTCCTCCTGGAAATAAACCCTTGAGCCTTATTACCAGACGGCCTCTCCACCCTCAGATCAGGCGCTGTGATGCTACATCTGAACCAGTTACCTCTGAAGCTCAAAGCCCCGCACTGAAGAATCAAGCATTGCAGTTAGCGTAAGAAATGTTTTGCTTCGGGGGACTTGAGCACTGTTCATAGTAGATGCAGAGATCAGCATTCTCGGCGAGGATGA